CACGAAGTTGAATATAGAATTTATCATATTGTCTATAATATATATCCTATTGCCATGAAACTTTGTCAGCAGTCTCATAATTTATTAAGCTTTAGTCATACCAAGTTTTATTAAGATTGGTCAAATTTTTCTATCCTATTAGGTCCGAGTACACAGTTATCGTCCTTTGATTTTCGTTGTCCACGAATAAAGTCCCTAGTGTGGACAGTGTGTTGCTTGCCAATTTTTTTAGTACCCCTTCCAAATGTATTCCTTCATGTTTTATGCCTCAAATAGCAAGTAGGGGGATGAAATTACACTGTAAAAAAATTTGGGTCATGAATTGCAAAGTAAAGTAGTGATTTGGTCCAGCTGAAAAAGGTTAAAAATTAGCACTTCGGAAGCTGTCAAAAGATTTCAAGACCCCCTTAACATAGAATTGTCCATATTTTGAGTTAGAGCCGATGAAGTTTTCTATAATTTTGATATAATTTGTCCCAAAAGTAGTACAACACACTGTAAAAATATTATTGAGAAAGCGCAGGTGGGATTTTTTTTATTTTCATTTATTGTCTAAAAGAAATGCACTACGAAATAACTGTGTACTCGGACCAATTGCCTCAAAATTTTAGGAATTAGGGGCCAAAAAAGGGGCAAAAAACAAGCATTTTTCTAGTTTCATGACAATAACTTGTGTGTAATTGTTTGGATATTTCTGAAATTGTACTACTAGGTTTCATATCACAAAGGGAAAGCTGGAATTGAGTTAGGGGGTAATTGCCTGAAAAGTTTAGGAATTGGGGGCCAAAAAGGGGCCAAAAATAAGCATTTTTCTAGTTTCAAGACAATAACTTGTTTTCAAGTGTATGGATCTCTCTGAAATTGTACTGCAAGGTACCATACCACAAAGGGAAGGCTGGGATTGAGTTTGGGGGTGATGAATCATAAGGGGGTTCAAAAAATTTGGGGGGGGGGGATTTTTTTTTTTTTTTTTTTCTTTTTTTCTTTTTTTTCTTGTTTTAAAATTTTCCATTTTAAGTTGGTTATTTCTGATTTATATTTAAAAGCAAATAATAATGATATGGTAGGAGATACACACCAAACAGGATGTGTAAATTTTTATATAATAAGTATTGTGCAATAGCAAGAAATTTTCAATTGCACAGTATTGCACAATAGCAAGAAATCTTCAATTGCACAGTATTGCGCAATAGCAAGAAATCTTCAATTGCACAGTATTGCGCAATAGCAAGAAATATCCAATAGCACAATATTGAGCAATAGCAAGAAATTGTCAATAGAACAGTATTGCGCAATAGCAAGAAATATTCAATTGCACAATATTGTGCAAAAGAAGATACTTCTTATAAATTGCTTATTTCTTGATCAATTTCAATGGGGTTTTATTCTTGAAATCTTGGGGGTTCTTTAATATGCTGAATATAACCGTGTATTAAGTTTTTGGATTTTGGGCCCCGTTTTTAAATTGGTCCACATTGAGGTCCAAAGGGTCCAAAATTTAACTTTGTTTGATTTCATCAAAAATTGAATTATTGGGGTTCTTTGATATGCCCAATCTAACCGTGTATTTAGAATCTTAATTTTTGGTTCCATTTTCAAATTGGTCTACATTAAGGTCCAAAGGGTCCAAAATTAAACTTAGTTTGATTTAAACAAAAATTGAATTTTTAGTGTTCTTTGATATGCATAATCTAAACATGTATTTAGATTTTTGATTATGGGCCCAGTTTTCAAGTTGGTCCAAATCGGGGTCCAAAATTAAACTTTGTTTGATTTCAACAAAAATTGAATATATGGGGTTCTTTGATATGCTGAATCTAACCATGTATTTAGATTTTTAGGCCCCGTTTTTAAATTGGTCCACATTGAGGTCCAAAGGGTCCAAAATTTAACTTTGTTTGATGTCATCAAAAATTGAATTATTGGGGTTCTTTGATATGCCGAATCTAACCGTGTATTTAGATTCTTAATTTTTGGTTCCGTTTTCAAATTGGTCTACATTAAGGTCCAAAGGGTCCAAAATTAAACTTAGTTTGATTTTAACAAAAATTGAATTTTTAGTGTTCTTTGATATGCTGAATCTAAACATGTATTTAGATTTTTGATTATGGGCCCAGTTTTCAAGTTGGTCCAAATCGGGGTCCAAAATTAAACTTTGTTTGATTTCAACAAAAATTGAATATATGGGGTTCTTTGATATGCTGAATCTTACCATGTATTTAGATTTTTGGGCCCCGTTTTTAAATTGGTCCACATTGAGGTCCAAAGGGTCCAAAATTAAACTTTGTTTGATTTCATCAAAAATTGAATTCTTGGGGTTCTTTGATATGCTGAATCTAACCATGTATTTAGATTTTGGATATTGGACCATAATAGGTGAATGTCCAATTTAAAATTTTTAAGTTCTTAGACCACATTCATTCTGTGTCAGAAACCTATGCTGTGTCAAATATTTAATCACAATCCAAATCTAGAGCTGTATCAAGCTTGAATGTTGTGTCCATACTTGCCCCAACTGTTCAGGGTTCGACCTCTGCGGTCGTATCAAGCTGCGCCCTGCGGAGCATTTTATTTAAATTGGTCTACATTAAGGTCCAAAGGGTCCAAAATTAAACTTAGTTTGATTTTAGCAAAAATTGATTTCTTGGGGTTCTTTGATATGCTGAATCTAAACATATGTTTAGATTTTTGATTATGGGCCCAGTTTTCAAGTTTGTCCAAGTTGGGGTCCAAAATTAAACTTTGTTTGATTTTAACAAAAATTGAATATATGGGGTTCTTTGATATGCTGAATCTAACCATGTATTTTGATTTTGGACATTGGAACATAATAGGTAAATTAAAAAAATTCAAGTTCTTAGACCACATTCTTTCTGTGTCAGAAACCTATGCTGTGTCAAATATTTAATAACAATCCAAATTCAGAGCTGTATCAAGCTTGAATGTTGTGTCCATACTTGCCCCAACTGTTCAGGGTTCGACCTCTGCGGTCGTATCAAGCTGCGCCCCAGCGAAGCATTTTATTCATCCTTGAAACATGAGAAAAAAAGTTTCTTCTTATGCTTTACAGGCAGGGACTTTCTGGAAAAATCCCAACTTGAAACTCAGTAAAATGTGTCTCTAGAAAATGATTCTTTTTGGAGACAAATTGAACAATATCCTGGTTGATAACAGGATAATGAAACTATTGTTGCAGAATAAATAATTTAGCAAACGATGTTTGACTCTTTATTGTTTCCACGGATGTGTTTGATTTAGAACAACAGGAAGTGTTAAATCCAGAAGTTGTTTAAATGCAAATCGTTATCGGTGAATCTTGTACAGAATACGGAATCATTACAAATATTCTTAAATACACAATAAATAAATAAATTGTAATATTTATGTTGATAAATTAGTGCTGAAATAAATATTAATCTCTGCTAATTTTATTTATTGTTTGTTGGTACTCATTGAATCGTATAATCCGGATTATCACACTCTTATTGAATGTCAATTAGGAAGTCTAATCGCTGTCAGAACAAAATCAATTGACAGATTAATTTGGTTCCTTAATGTAATCCATACAGTTTACAAGATGGCATTGACATGTCTGCAATTATGAATTGTATGAAGGTTTTAATAAAAAATGACACTTGATCACCTGATACTACGAAAGTAAAAAAAGCAATGGTGGTCGCTATCATCAAACGGGCGTGTTTCGTTCAATTTTCATACATTTACCCTCTGTATTCCTTGTTAGAACACATATACAAAGTAAGTGATAAACTGCCATTGACAGAGTCCTTCATCTCTAATTTGGACATGATCAAATGCAACTTCCGGACGGCAACTGAGAACACGAGAAAACGCAAAAAACAACTACTAAAGCATTTAAATGATTTTTCTTTGCATACAACATTACAAATCCGATACAAGAAGGTACAAATATACATGTAAAACATAACAACAATCAAGTTTATGCTACGAAAATATTTTCCTCCAGACCACCTGGTTTCTTGATCGGAATTCGGCCTGAAAAAAAGTATTAAGAAAAATATACCCATGCATAATACGCACATCCCTTTTCAGAAATCATTCCTAGGGTAAAAACCTGCTTACTTTACACACCTAAAAATGGTAATTATTTTGCTCGTTTTGGGCACCATGATTGGCAAATAAAGTATTTTTTTGTTTTGTTTGTTTGTTTGTTTGTTTATTAATATTTTTTGATAACCATATATTTGTATTATGTTTTAGCTTGCTACAATGCCACAGATTTACCAAAACTTTGTAAAGAATACACAGATTCATGTAAGTTTGATTTTAACTTCATTTTTAAGTTTAAAGGTAACAGACCTCAAATGAAAGCACTTCAAACAGTTGACTTTATTAGTCATAAAGATTTAGAAATGCTAAAGGGTGGTAACTCCAAGAAGAGATATCAAGGTTCTTTTGATGGAAGTTCTGTATGTGTTGTTTTCGATTGGTGTGATAAAGACCATGGGCACAATTACTTGCAAGAAAGCCCCCAAAACATAAAGAAGACTTGGAATACTTCAAGGCAGATACCTTTGTTTTAAGAAAAACTTTGCCCTAAATATTAGTAGTTGTATGTGCATTTTCAAAACAAATTTCACAATGAGCAAAGATATATATATATATACTGACATTTACTCTTGAATTTCAACTTAAGACTTATGCTACTCTTTTTGCAAAAACGTAAGAGTAAAAATACTCATAACCCATGATTATTTCAGTATGACTTAAGATGATCTAAATAATTTTTTTTTTTAAATAGCTGCTCATAAAAATTAGGAGAATAATGGGAAAAGCTGTACATGTATAGCAGCAGTCTTGGGAATTTTATTTTCTAAAGGTATCATCTCTAATATGTTTTTTAACTCTTCATGATAGTCCTCAAGGCTGTATATATCCTTTACTTTTGCAAGATGTAAAGTGTTAGTCTTTGCAGAAATTATTAAATTGTATTTGCACTTTTATTTTATATTCAGGTCAAACTGAAGGTAAGTGCATTTGTATTAAGTCATTCAAGTTAATACATGAGCAACACAATGGGTGTCACTTGTGGAGCAGTAGTTGCTTACCCTGAGCACCTGAGATCACCCTTGGTTTTTGGTTTGGTTTCTGTTGCTTAGTCTTTAAGTTTTCTTTTATAGTGTTGCATTGTTTTTTATTTTTTGTCTTGATGTTTTTTGGTTGTCTTACAAGTTTTTAATGTCCCCTTGTTATCTTTCACCTGGCGTTTCTCATCACTTAGCGTTCGTCGTCCCTTGTCGCCAATAAATTTGACAAAAATCATCTCTGAAACCACTTGGCCAAATTTAACCAAACCTGGCCACAGTCATCAGGGTATCTAGTTTAAAAAATTGTCTGATGACCCCACTTGCCAACCAAGATGACTGCAATGGCTGAAAATAGAAAGCAGGGGTAAAATGCAAGTTGTATCTATTATCTTGAAAACTGCTATAGATAGAAAAAAATCTGACAGGGGCAAAAATGTTCAGAATGTTGAGATCTACCTATTGTCAATTTATATCAAAATTGTCAGAAGACTTCTTTATAGGAGTTCTTGCCCTAGGCCTTAAATGAAGATTTTTATCTGATTTTTGCTTTTTTGCCTAATATCTTAAAAACTATAATAGATAGACAGAAAGTTAAATAAGCAAAAACGATCAGCAAGGTTGTAAAGGAGGAAATCGTTTGATGACTCTTTAATAGAGTGTTTGCCCTTTAATAATGATTTTTACCAATTTTTCATGTTTTGCATTATATCTTAAAAATTATAATATATGTAGACGGATAGAAACCTGAATAAGCAAAAATGATCAGCAAGACAAGATGTGCTCTCAAGTCATATGTAGAAAATTAGCCCACTACTCCTTATTGAAGTTATTGTCCTTAAATCACAATTTTTGTCTCTCTTGCAACGAAGTCACCGAAAGCAAAACATAGGGATTGCTTTTTAGGCAACAGCTGGGATGACGGCGTCAAATTTGTTAGGTTTTCTGCTTAAGTTAGTTTGACAAGAACTACTTGTGATAGATCATTGATATTTTGTATGAAGATGCATTACTATCAGTACATATCAGTTAGACAAAAATTTTGTCGCCCTTCCCCCTAGGCCATTATCTAGTGACTTTGATTTAATTAGCCATTTTCATTGTTAAGTTTTCTGCTTGAGTTATTTTGATAGGAAGTACTTGTGATAGATCAATGATATTTTGTACGAAGTTGCATTGCTTTCAGTACATATCAGTTTGAAGACTATTTTGAGGCACTGTACCCTAGGTCATGGTCCAGTGATCATAAATTCAATTAATTAGCAATTTTCAATGATAAGTTTTCTGCTGAAGTTATTTCGATATGAACTACTTGTGATAGATCAATGATATTTTCTATAAAGTTGCATTACTATCAGTACATATTAGTTTTACTTCTATTTTAAGGCCCTGTTTCCTAGGTCATGGTCCAGTGACTTTCCATCAATTAACAATTTTCAATGTTAAGTTTTATGACTAAGTTAGTTTGATAGGAACTACTTACAATAGACAATATTTTCTATAAAGTTACACTGCTGTTTGTACATCTCAGTTTATCAACCATTTCGAGGCCCTGCCTACTAGTTTGTTCAGCGACTTTGAATGAATAAGCAATGTTGCTGTCCATTCGATTGTCTTTTTCTGAATTTTATACCAACAGGCAAGACATATCTCTGTGTCAACAGTATTTTGTCTTTTATCTTTAAAATTTTTATAGATATATAGAAACAAAACTAAGCAAAATTGATCAGCATGACAAGATATGCATATATGTTAAATGGCATAAATTGTAATTTTACACCTTATTGGGGTTATTTCTCTTAAATGATGATTTTTATCCATTTTTAGTGTTTTTGTCTATTATCTTGAAAATTATAATAGATAGATAAACACTTTAGAAAGAAAAGATATCAACAAGACAAGATCTTCAAGTAAATCATTTTGCTGAAAACATCAGTAGACATTTTATTAGAGTGTTTGCTCTTAAATGATGATGTTTTTTTACCCTATTTTTAATTTTTTTTGTTTTGGGCAAAATAAAGAAGATATAGAGAAAAAGAAAAAAATCAATGCAAGATTAACAAAAAAAGATTTTTGTCATTAATTCTAATCTAGTCCACAATGTTAAGGAATGTCTTGTTCATTGTTGAAGATGCACATAGAGTTTTAAAAACAGTCCAGTTTCTATTTTTATACGACCGCAAAAATTGAAAATTTTTTGGTCGTATATTGGTATGACGTTGGCGTCGTCGTCGTCGTCGTCGTCCGGCGTCGTCTGGCGTCGTCCGAAGACACATTGGTTTTCACACTCTAACTTTAGTTTAAGTGAATGGATCTCCATGAAATTTTACCATAAGGTTTAATACCATGAAAGGAAGGTTGGGATTGATTTTGGGGGTTATGGTACCAACAGTTAAGGAATTAGGGGCCAAAAAGGGGCCAACAATAAGCATTTTTGTAACTTCCAGACAATAACTTGTGTGTAAGTGTATGGATCTCTCTGACATTGTACCACAAGGTTCCATATCACAAAGGGAAGGCTGTAATTGATTTTGGGGGTAATTGCCTCAAAATGTTAGGAATTAGGGGCCAAAAAAGGGGCAAAAAACAAGCATTTTTCTAGTTTCATGACAATAACTTGTGTGTAAGTGTTTGGATATTTCTGAAATTGTACTACAAGGTTCCATATCACAAAGGGAAAGCTGGAATTGAGTTTGGGGGTAATTGCCCGAAACGTTTAGGAATTGGTGGCCAAAAAGGGGCCAAAAATAAGCATTTTTCTAGTTTCCAGACAATAACTTGTGTTCAAGTGTATGGATCTCTCTGAAATTGTACTGCAAGGTACCATACCACAAAGGGAAGGCTGAGATTGAGTTTGGGGGTGATGAATCATAAGGGGGTTCAAAAAATTTGGGGGGGGGGGGGGGGTTCTTTTTTTTTTCTTTTTTTCCTTTTTTATTTTTTCTTTTAAAATTTTCCATTTTAAGTTGGTTATTTCTGATTTATATTTAAAAGCAAATAATAATGATATGGTAGGAGATACACACCAAACAGGATGTGTAAATTATTATATAATAAGTATTGTGCAATAGCAAGAAATTTTCAATTGCACAGTATTGCACAATAGCAAGAAATCTTCAATTGCACAGTATTGCGCAATAGCAAGAAATCTTCAATTGCACAGTATTGCGCAATAGCAAGAAATATCCAATAGCACAATATTGCGCAATAGCAAGAAATTGTCAATTGTACAGTATTGCGCAATAGCAAGAAATAATCAATTGCACAGTATTGTGCAAAAGAAGATACTTCGTATAAATTGCTTATTTCTTGATCAATTTCAATGGGGTTTTATTCTTGAATTCTTGGGGTTCTTTAATATGCTGAATCTAACCATGTATTAAGTTTTTGGATTTTGGGCCCCGTTTTTAAATTGGTCCACATTGAGGTCCAAAGGGTCCAAAATTTTACTTTGTTTGATTTCATCAAAAATTGAATTATTGGGGTTCTTTGATATGCCGAATCTAACCGTGTATTTAGATTCTTAATTTTTGGTTCTGTTTTCAAATTGGTCTACATAAAGGTCCAAAGGGTCCAAAATTAAACTTAGTTTGATTTCAACAAAAATTGAATATATGGGGTTCTTTGATATGCTGAATCTAACCATGTATTTAGATTTTTGATTATGGGCCCAGTTTTCGAGTTGGTCCAAATCGGGGTCCAAAATTAAACTTTGTTTGATTTCAACAAAAATTGAATATATGGGGTTCTTTGATATGCTGAATCTAACCATGTATTTAGATTTTTGATTATGGGCCCAGTTTTCAAGTTGGTCCAAATCGGGGTCCAAAATTAAACTTTGTTTGATTTCAACAAAAAATGAATATATGGGGTTCTTTGATATGCTGAATCTAACCATGTATTTAGATTTTTGATTGTTGGGCCCCGTTATCAACTTTGTCCACATTGAGATCAAAAGGGTCCAAAATTAAACTTTGTTTGATTTCATCAAAAATTGAATATATGGGGTTCTTTGATATGCTAAATCTAACCATGTATTTAGATTTTTGATGATGGGCCCAGTTTTCAAGTTGGTCCAAATCGGGGTCCAAAATTAAACTTTGTTTGATTTCAACAAAAATTGAATATATGGGGTTCTTTGATATGCTGAATCTAACCATGTATTTAGATTTTTGATTATGGGCCCAGTTTTCAAGTTGGTCCAAATCGGGGTCCAAAATTAAACTTTGTTTGATTTCAACAAAAAATGAATATATGGGGTTCTTTAATATGCTGAATCTAACCGTGTATTAAGTTTTTGGATTTTGGGCCCCGTTTTTAAATTGGTCCACATTGAAGTCCAAAGGGTCCAAAATTTAACTTTGTTTGATTTCATCAAAAATTGAATTATTGGGGTTCTTTGATATGCCGAATCTAACCGTGTATTTAGATTCTTAATTTTTGGTTCCGTTTTCAAATTGGTCTACATAAAGGTCCAAAGGGTCCAAAATTAAACTTAGTTTGATTTTAACAAAAATTGAATTTTTAGGGTTCTTTGATATGCTGAATCTAAACATGTATTTAGATTTTTGATTATGGGCCCAGTTTTCAAGTTGGTCCAAATCGGGGTCCAAAATTAAACTTTGTTTGATTTCAACAAAAATTGAATATATGGGGTTCTTTGATATGCTGAATCTAACCATGTATTTAGATTTTTGATTTTTGGGCCCTGTTATCATTTTAGTCCACATTGAGATCAAAAGGGTCCAAAATTAAACTTTGTTTGATTTCATCAAAAATTGAATTCTTGGGGTTCTTTGATATGCTGAATCTAACCATGTATTTAGATTTTGGATATTGGACCATAATAGGTGAATGTCCAATTTAAAATTTTTAAGTTCTTAGACCACATTCATTCTGTGTCAGAAACCTATGCTGTGTCAAATATTTAATCACAATCCAAATTCAGAGCTGTATCAAGCTTGAATGTTGTGTCCATACTTGCCCCAACTGTTCAGGGTTCGACCTCTGCGGTCGTATCAAGCTGCGCCCTGCGGAGCATTTTATTAGCATATAAAGTATTGCTATGTGTAAATCAGGTGATAAGAAAAATGAGTCATCAATACCAGAGAGGCATCTACATTTTAATCTTTTGTAAACCCAATAACTTTATACCTCAGTCTACAAATTGATATGAAATTTTTTAGACAACATTACTGTCTGAAAGGTTTTTTTTTCTCTTACTGTAACTAGAGCTTTTACAAGAAACACTGATATATTAATATTTAATAAAAGAGCAGGTTGTCTTAAACAATAAAACTAACTTTAGGATTGTTAGATATAGTTACATAGTTTGATACATACATAAATAAATGCAAATCATCTTTTATGGTACATACATATTTTTGTGCCTGAATTTTTTTATTTAAAAAAAAAAAAAGTTATGTGTGTATTTTTTTTGGATTTTTTTTTTTTCTTTTCCATCTTTATACAGTCTACATAATATATACTTGTTTAGAAAATCCTGCATGTGTCTAGTGGGATCAAATAATCGTTATCGGGTATGATTGAAGGATATATTGTTATATTGATCTTATTTATTTTGTATTAGAATTAAAAGGTAAGGTATTGTATATGAGCTGAGTCAGATAGAAACCAACCTTATGCAAGTGCCATGTAAATATACATGTATAAAACTTTGATTGATTTTGGAACATTCAAATACGAAATGAAAGATGAGGTTTTGGTCTGTTTTGTAGGGTTCTTATAACAACTGAATTTTTAAACAGTTGCAGACTGTCCGTACAAATTTTTTCAACCAAAAAAAAGTTAACAGATGTATTGATATTCATTTGCATAAGGTTGATTTCAACCCAGCGCAGCTCATATGATATTTTTTATGACAAAGAATTGACATTTTCTTTCATCCTTTTTCACAAGTTTTGTGTTGTGATTTAAAGTTGTATAATAACTTGATTTAAGGTCTTTTTAACAAATCAATGGAGAGGTGTCAATTCTAAATTGACATGTGTTGTTTCTCTTTTTAGATTCTTGTTTCAAATTCCATTAGGGAACAGATATTACATAATTGTAGTAATTGAACCATCTTTTATGACGTTACTGCACTGGCCTTCTTCAGTTTCTTTTTTATTCTCTTAGACATTTTACTTCGAGAATCATTTAGTGTTAAGATGTCTCTTTTAAGAGATATATCAATTATCATACAATTGTGTTATATGAGTGTTACACAATTATATCTATTCTATTTACTAAATGATATCCAAAATAAATTTAGTATTACCAGTGGCAGATCCAGAAATTTTCATAAGGGGGGCACTGACTGCCTAAGAGGGGGCCCGCTCCAGTCATGCTTCAGTGATTCCCTATATAATCAACCAAATTTCCTAAAAAAAGGGGGCCCAGGCACCCTGGGCCCCCCTTCATCTGCCTCTCATTATTTAAGGAATGACTAATGTTTTTGTCTGTCTATGAAAAAAAAAACCGTTTACATTAAAAATGTGTTTATTTTAGCAATCAAGGACTTCATTAATTACCACAATAACAAAATGATATATTTACAATACTACATGTTAAAATGCCAGATTTTGATTGGTTTATAGGAGTGAGACATTCTTCTCTATCCATGATATATATTCTATTACTCTTCAAAGAGACACTTGATCATTTGTGTTCTTTTTGTCTCGCCTTGACGGAGTCAAAAAGCGAGGCATAGGTATGCTGTTTCCGGCGGCAGCGACGGCTTCAACAATGTATTAGTTTGTGATTAGGTCTAGTTCATGATGAACCACTAGTGGTAGGTCAATGATATTTAGTATGCAGTTGTATTAGCATTGGCACATCTCATTACCATGGAGATTATTTGGCCCCGCCCCCTCAGTCAAGGTCTATTAACTTTGAAACTTTTCATAGTTTACATGTATTTGTTTGTGATTAGGTCAATTTATGGGGAACCACTAGTGGTAGGTCAATGATATTTGGTATGCAGTTGTATAAGCATTGGCATATCTCATTTCCATGGAGATTATTTGGCTCCGCCCCCTTAGTCATGGTCTATAGACTTTGAAAATTTTGCTAAGTTAACATGTATTAGTTTGTGATTAGGTCAGTTCAAGGGGAACCATTAGTGGTAGGCCAATGTAAATTGGTGTTTAGCTGTATAAGCATTAGCACATCTCATTTCCATGGAAATTATTTGGCTCCGCCCCCTAAGTCATGGTCTATAGACTTTGAAAATTTTGCTAAGTTAACATGTATTAGTTTGTGATTAGGTCAGTTCAAGGGGAACCATTAGTGGTAGGCCAATGTTAATTGGTGTTCAGCTGTATAAGCATTAGCACATCTCATTTCCATGGAGAATATTTGGCCTTGCCCCTTCAGTCATGGTCTATTTACCTTGAAACTTTTGCTTAGTTTATATGTATTAGTTTGTGATTAGATCAGTTTAAGATGAACTGCTAATGTTAAGTCAATGATATTTGGTATGCAAATTTATTGGTATTTGCAAGTATCGTTTCCATGGAGATTATATAGCCCCAACCCTGATCATGGTTCATTGACTTTGAAACTTTTACATAGTTTACAAGTTAATGTTTGTGTTTAGGTTTGTTTAAAGGGAACGACTTATATAAGTCAATGGTATTTGGTATGCAGTTGTATTAGCATTGGCACATCTCATTCCATGGAGATTGTTTAGCCATGTACCTTCTGTCATGGTTCATCGACTTTGAATATGCACATCTCATTCCATGGAGATTGTTTAGCCATGTACCTTCAGTCATGGTTCATCGACTTTGAATATTTGCATAACTTACATGTTAAAGTATTGCTATTTTAATTTCAACATTTGCATTATCAAAATTACAAAAAGGCGAGACATATCTCTGTGATAATAGTTTATTAAATTAATGGATGTAATATACATGATGTCCTAGTTTATTACTTTCAATTTAAAATTTAAAAGACAAGAATAACAGAACAATCAGTATAATAATTTGAATATCACATAACTTGCTAAGAGGGGAAAAGAGCAGATTGTTACCCCTCAAAAAAGATTGTCAACCTTGACTTTTCCTTAGTTGACAATGTTTTCTCAGGGTAACATTCTGCTCTATCACCCTCTCAGCTATGTGTACATGTATTACTGCTGACGAAGGTTAATTGTTTTCTTATCAGGAGCCTGTAGAGCTTTTACCACGAAGGACAAATGTTGTAACACCACCATCACCAAGTTGTCAGATTGTATGTTCTATGAGTGTGTTGATAAGACAGATCCCGCAAAGGTTCACATGGGTAGGTAAATAATTGATTGTGGTAAAGTTGTCAAAACTGTTTATTTTAGATTTCAATCCATTATATTTTAGTAATCTTGAGATTTTACTATTGATTGGAGGGTTATTTTTTAACCCAGTGATTGGAAACAATTTTTTTGACAATATGTGTGTAGCTGCTATATTGAAAACTTTATATGGAAATCTTGGCAGTTGGAAGTTAGCATTTCAATTATTGGACACTATTTTTATCACCATAAAAAAACCTTGCTAACACTTGTTTGATAATGCAATTTGAAGAGGACCCTTGTTGATTTTGAGGTCACTAGATCAAATTTTAAAGTGACAGCAGCCATTGAAATATTGAAATTTGGGCAATATTAATGCATGTTTTGGTTGAAGATAAAGGTCAAAGTGCCTATAGATAAACATAAATTTTGGGGAGAGACAAAGTTCTTTTGATCATACAGCAGACTTTTACCAATGTCATGTGTGTTAATGCTCCTTGGAATGAAAAAGACCCCAATAGATTTTGAGTAAATTATTCTAAGGTCAAGTTCATGGCTGCAATTAATAACAGAAAATTTTGGCAAATGTTTTAATTTCTGGATAATATCTTTTAAACCATACATCCATTAATCACGGAACATAGTTTGATTATGTCCCTTGGGATGACTTCTATTGATCTGGAGGTCAATAGGTCGAAGGTCAAGGTCATAAAAACAATTGAAAGACTCAGGAACCTGCTTAAATTTTGAATTCTGAAATTTCAACATTTTGTCATACCATCACCAGAGTAAGCTTGAAAATGTCCCTTGAAAGAACAAAAAGATTTGGTTTACGGTCAATATCAGAAATTTTGCATGGTGTAGGACCTTTGCAGTAAGTGATATGGTAGCAAAATACAATGATTATGTTTAGACTCTTGCAAATAGGGTTTTAATTTATAACAATTTTGTCTTTAGAATTTATGATTTATATACCTGCCAGTTTTCAAAATCTCGACTGACAGTTTTAAGCCAAAGCAGACCAAATCCATCTCTTTTACTGGTTGTAAATTATTTTCATATAATACTCTATGGTATTGAATCAGTATATAGTTGCTAAAATGTAATTTTAACTTTTTTAAGTGCTTTTTTTATATTATAGTTTATATAATTGAGAATTCTAATTGTTTGAGGAAACCATTGGAACCCCCTACACATTGAGAAAGTTGACAGTTGTTATAATAAGTGAAAGGCTTATGATTATTGTTTTATTTTATAAATTCAGGTTGTCATAATGCATCAAACCAGGCTGAAATAAATAAAACATGTGATGTGTCGAAAAAAGTTAACCAAACTTGTAAGTATTTAAAATATGCAATTTTGTAAATTGTAAATTTAAAATATGAGCAATTATATTTGTTTCCTTTACCAAAGATAAAAACTCCAGCAGCAGTTACTTTTAAAAAGCAGATGAAATACTGCATTTGATTAAGTAATTTAAATTGATTTTTATGAAATTTGTATCGGAGATGTCTGGGAAAAGTTTGAAAATCTGTGTAAGTCATGGACACATTCTTTTTTGATTTTTAAAAGTAGCTATGCCACTTGGAAATATAAATTATATGAAAAATTGTATTGTAAGCACTCTCAATATAAAAATAAGGAGATGTAATATGATTGGTAATAAGACAACAATCCACCACAAATAAAGTGGATGTAAGCAATCATAGGCAACCGTACGGCCTTCAACAATGAGAAAATACCATATCTTATAGTCGGCTGTAAAAGGCCCTGACAGGAAAAATATGAAACAATTCAATTCAGAAAAAATGACGGCCAAATTTATAACAAAACAATTTATGGAAAAAAAAAAAACATGACAAGTACATATTTTGTAGGAATGTTATGAAATTTATTTCAAATGTTTATATCAGCAATGTCTGAGAGGACTTTGAAACTGCGCTGATCAATTATTACCACTTAAGTAATATCCATTGGAAATATAAATTTATATGGAAAATTGTATTTTTAGTACTCTTACGTCCACTTTCTTTGTAGGATTGGTATGAAATTTAATCAAATGTTAATATCAACAAGGTCATGGAATAGTCTTGTAAGAGTCTTATCGTCAGTGCTGATCAACTACTTTACAGCTCTTATGCCTCTTTGAAATAGAAATTGTATTGAAAATGTCATTTTTATCTATATAGCAATATCTTGCCTACATTTCTTGTAGAACATTAATGAAAATTTGTGGGAAGAAAAATGTTAGCATGACAATGTGTTTATTTCTAACTTGATGGGGTTGTGGAAGAGACTCCCCATTGTGATACTCATTTAATGATAACAAACATTTAAGAAGATTTTATATTTATTGCTAGGTCCTGCATCACCACCTACACCAGCAGGTAAGTAATGTGGCATAAAACATATACAAGGGGGGTAATCATAAACATATACAAGGGAGGTAATCATATACATTTACAAGGGAGGTAATCATAAACATTTACAAAAAAGTAAAATAACAAAAATACTGAACTCTGAGGAAATTTCAAAACGGAAAGTCCATAATCAAATGGCAAAATCAAAAGCTCAAACACATCAAACGAATGGATAACAACTGTCATATTTCTGACTTGGTACAGGCAGCTAATCACAAACATTTACAAGGGAGGTAATCATAAACATATACAAGGGAGGTAATCAGTAGATGAAATAAAACTTGGCGAAATATTTGGTATATTCTGCAGTTTTGTCACATGTAAGGTATTGTTTTGAAAATAAATAGAAAGTAATCATTAAAAAAATTGACCAATCATGACGGTGAATACATCATGGTACCATTTTATAATCAACATATTCAAAGCTGCTTATATGGCATGTAGTTTATCAAATGCTTGTAATTTGTGTAACCCAGGAGCAAACAAACTGAAAAAAAATGAAACAGCAATCAATAGGGTTATCCAAGTCACTAAATTGAAGCAGAAACAAATTTAAATTTCAACATGTTTATGATGTCATAATAACTCCACAATTGACCTTTCTGCACTAAAATGTCCAGATTTTATTAACCTGTTCCATTTATCAGTAAAATTTACATAATTTTGAAAGGCTTGAATAAGTTTACTAATTTTGCAATTTCAGTAGCTAATAATGCCTCTTATCATACCTCCCCCTTTAAATTGATGATGATATTAACTTGATTAAAAAAAATAAACGTTCTAATTACAGTGACCTGCCGTAACTTCACAGATAATCAGACCGAATGCTGCACACATGGAACAGACCTTGGATGTGGGTTTGTTAACTGTAATGGACCAGCCAAGAAAACATTTAAAGGTAGAATCATCTGTTAATTAGTGGGGGCGTCATGGGTAGTCAAGAGGCTGTCAATATTATTATATTCTCATATGGAATAATAGAAAAAAGTGTTATTCAAATGAATTCTAAATAGGCACATTATTATGAAGTTTTTATTATTTGGACCAAAGCTCAAGTTTAATTCCAGTGGAAATAATGTTACAGACTATTTCTTCTTCTTGGAACTTCTATTATGAAGGAACTTCTATTTTGTGACAGTGTAAATGTATATGGTCCAGTTGTTCTAAACATAAAAAACAGTGCAAATAAAGTTTGTTTCTTAGTTTTTCAATTTTTATACGCCCATTTACAGGACGTATTATGGTATACCGTTGTCTGTCGATCTGTCGTCAACATGTCAGACAATAACTCAAAAACGCTTGAACCAAATAGCATGAAACTTTGGTGAATTGTTTATATCTATTGACGTGAGCTCCTTTTCGTTTTTTATAAATTTAAGATTTTTAAGTTTCCGAGTTTTGGGGTTTTTTTTCATTAAAAAAGGGGGATTTTCCAGTTTTCGGACAATAACTCAAAAACACTTTCACCAATTTGCAAGAAACTTTGGTGAATTGTTTATATCTATTGCCATGAGCTCCCTTTCGATTTTTATAAATTTCAGATTTTACGTTTCGGAGCTATGGGGTTTTATTCATTAAAAAAGTTTTTTTTTCTCCAGTTTTCAACAATAACTCAAAAATGCTTTCAGCAGTTTTCATGAAACTTTGGTTAATTGTTTATATCTATTGACGTAAGCTCCCTTTTGATTTTTTATAAATTTTAGATTTTTCGGAGTTATGTGATTGAATTCATAAAAAAGGGGGTATTTTTCAGTTTTCGGTCAATGCTTTGAGCAGTTATCATGAAACTTTGGTGACTGGTTTATATCTATTAAGATAACCTCCCTTTAGTTTTTCTTGAATTTCTGATATGACATTGAGAAGTTATTGAACTTTATTCTTTAAAAGCGAAGGGCGTATCATGCGCTCATGGCACAGCTGTTTATTTTTTATGACACTTAAAAAATCACATTGCAAATCAGGATGTCAAGACAAGCCCTTTTTAGTTCACCAGGCCCATAAGGGCCAAGTGAGCTTTTCTCATCACTTGGCGTCGGTCGTCCTCTGTTGTCGTCGTCAGTTAACTTTTACAAAAATCTTCTCCTCTGAAACTACTGGGCCAAATAAAACCAAACTTGACCTATATCATCCTTAGGGTATCTAGTTTAAAAAATGTATCCGATTACCCCACCCATCAACCAAAATGGCCGCCATGGCTTAAAATAGAACATTGGGGTAAAATGCAGTTTTTTGGCTTATATTTCTGAAACTAAAGCATTTAGAGCAAATCTGACCTTGGGTAAAAATGTTCATCAGGTCAAGATCTATCTGCCCTGAAATTTTCAGACGCATCAGACAACCCATTGTTGGGTTCACTGGTGTTAAACTGATCGTGGTAATTGCAGTTACCATGATCCCAATATGGCGAAGGTAGAAATTGGTAACATCGTTTTCTGCTAATTTCTCCGTGTATACATGTTGTTTTCAATAATTACTCAGCCGCCAGGTTGATCTGTACGGTTTGTGTGTGAATGTGTGTTCTTAATATCATATTTGGTCTCGTTACAGAAATAATAGCCATCAAAAATTTTAGGAAGATAATCGTAACTTCAAAAAAAGATAATCGTAACTTGTGGACAAATAGCTTGAAAGATAATTGTAACTGCAGATTATATCAATGATAATAGTAATTAACTGATTTTGATAAAAAAAAAAGATTGCGTCATAGTAACCACGAATGCGATAGTGTTACATCATTTTTTTGTTGTTCACCACTAATCTCAATGGACGACTAAAATATGTTATGAAATTATTTTGCACACAACTTTTCCAATCTTTCCAACACAGATATTGTTTACAAATATATGCATAGAACTGAATCAGAAACTTATAGTTGTTTAACTTTCAAAATAAGAATAAAAAGATGTGGTATGATTGCCAATGAGACAACTATCCAACAGAGACCAAAAAACGTAGATGTAAGCAACTACAGATCATTGTATGGCCTTCAATAATGTACAAAACTCATATAGAGAAAGCTAACAACCACTAAATTACAGGCTCCTGACTTGGAACAAGTGCATACAGAATGTAGCATTGTTAAACATGCTTGTGAGCACTCTCCTCCGTTTTATGAAGAAGCATCTATTGTATTCCCAAATTGCTTATTCTTTTTATATTTATATGCTCTATTTTATCTTTTGGTAAACCTTCTAATAATGGGTCAACATCTCTGTTAGTGAACTGTAAATCCCAGAGAGTATTGCAGCCAGTTGCCAGTACTATGGTACTGGCACACAAAAAAGGTTATTGGTTGATTGAAATTTTCTGTTATAAAACTTAAAAAATCATAAAAATTAAGGAATACTAGAACACACCCGCGAAATCGCGGGCATTTAGAGCATGTTTGAAAGAATGTAAATTGTTGTAGGGTCGATGAATTTTTGTAAAAGATTTTATGACTGGAGAATTTCAGGAAAGGTATCAAAAGTCATAGGTACTTGGGGTCAGGACAATTTTTTTAGCCCTCCCCCTGTTTTTCAAACTCCGTTATTTTTTTGTTTTCTATTAATTTCAATTATTTTCGCGTTTTTCTCACGTTATACTATGAACAGACATATACTATAATCTCTATATAATCTGAGACTACTATAATAGTCTCAGATATAATATATGACCGCCGCTGATAGTAAACTTGGAATTGATAGTAAATAGCAAATACAATGTACACTTTATTTATAGTATATGTATGTTCAAAATATACAGAAAAAGTGAAAATAATTGTCCTGTCCCCCAAGTACCTATAAAATTATGTTTAATTTTAAACAGACCTTGAATTTTCAATGGCTTATATTTTTGTAACGAGGCCATATATGATACTAAAAACACACACACACATCAAAATTGTACAGATCAACCTGTCGGCTGAGTAATTTTTGAAAACAACACGTATACACGGAGATATTAGCAGAAAATGATTTTACTAATTTCTACCTCCGCCATATTGGGATCGTGGTAACTGCTCCTGATTTGGTAATTTTTAAGAAATTTTGCAGTTTTTGGTTATCTTGAATATTCTTATAGATAGAGATAAACTGTAAACAGCAAAAATGTTCAGAGTATCTAGTTTAAAAAATGTATCCGATGGCCGCCATGGCTAAAAATTTAACATAGAGGTAAAATGCAGTTTTTATACAACCGCAAAAAAATCGTTCGTATAATGCTATCATGTCGTCGACATCAGCATCGTCGTCCAAAGACACATTTGGTTTCCAGACAATCACTTTGATTTTAAGTGAATGGATCTCTATGAAATTTTACCAGAAGGTTCATTACCACAAAAGGAAGGCTGGGATTGAGTTTGGGGGTAATTACTCCAAGGGGGGGATTTTTTGTTCCAATTTTTTGGGGGGGTTTTATATTCTTTTTCTCCAAAATGTCCAGTGACCTTGGGAATAACTGTCATTATGGGAACTTTGTTTGGGAAACTTTGTAACAGCATCCTGTTACAATCATTTCTTGTTTATGTATCAATATCCACCCTTTTATGAGTTTTGAAGCAAATTTCATCCATAATTCTTTCCATGAAAATGTGAAAATCAACCTTGAAATATGAGGTTTGTTCTAGATCTGCAGAATGAATTGGTAAATGCAAAAGTAAAATCTCTATATCATCTCTGTTCTTGTTTTATACTCCAATGCCCAAAACTTTCCCCAAAATTTGCCTGCGAAATTGAGCTAATGAAATATCATGTCAACATATGTTAACATGTTACATTTAGGTGTATTTTTTAATGACATTTTCTGTTTTGCATATCTTGATCCTTCAAAAGATTTATCTAACATAGCTAGTTTATGATATTTAATATATTATGCAGCAAATTGAATAGTCCTCTTTCATTGGGTAGTTATAAATTTTTTACAGGATGTTACAATATGTCAGATGTCACATGTACACCACCACCATTGGACCAATGTAAGTGTTTAATTTACTGTATATACTTTAAAATGAGAATTAGATTAAAAAATAGTAATTCAATGTTGTCAGACTGTTTTTTCTTCTAAAAAAAAGAAGGTAGCAATCATAAGTACATTTACAAAAAATATGATATTGATGGAAATTTTTTCATGTCTGATAGATATGAAATTTAGTGGAAAAAAATGATATTATAAATGATATGTTTGTTGCCAAATCTTATCAAAACTTGGGGCATTTTAAAGGAAAATAACACTGTATAAGTTATATGAACATGATGAATTTTAGAATTCTTAAAACAAAAAATATATGAAGATGATGAGTTAGTTTGTCTACTGTAAAAGAGCTGTTACATCAGAAATATGTCTCAGTATTAGGAATTTAATATTATAAAAAGCATGAGTTGAAATATAAACTTGGCCAGGTGTAACTTCTTTAGATTTAAAGAAACATCATTTGAAGCAAGTTGTTCCACTTTTGTAATAATGTTGACAATACTTATCAATTTTTTGCAAAACTCTTGCCATTTAGTCCACTGCCATGATCTGGTGGTATGGTGCTTGCCTTTAGTGCCATGGTTGTGGGTTTGATCACTGTTTTGGTCAAAACAAAGACCAGAAAATTGGTATTTGCTGCATCTCTGTTAAGCAGGCAGCATTTAGGAGTAAGCCCAAAGACTGGTAAGATCAGTGTTAGAATCAAGGTTAGGTGACATGTTTCTGGGGACTGTTACATTGTGGATGAGCAAGTTAAAATTCTGGCTGAGCAAGGCCGTCTTAGTGCAGAGCAGTGTTTATATGCAAATCGCTTTAACTTATTCTTGTCCTGATATGCATGTAATATTTGCCACTAGACGTTAAGCAGTCATCCATCATCATCATCTTGCTATTCAGTTTTCAGAATTTTGTTGTCTCAGTGATAAGATAGTTTAATTTTTTGCAGGTAAAGATAAACCAACTACTTTGGCACCATCAACAACCATGAAACCAACACCTGAGCCAGTATTTGAAGGTAACTATGTTATTTATGCCATGTTATCTATCTTGTTAGTTTGATGTAGGAAACGTGTCACTGTTAAATTAATTCTTATACTAGTTTTAAGGGGAGTTGAAACAATTTCAAGTAAGCTAACTATTCATGTGAAGATATATGTTTAATATTCTAAAATTGACCAGTGAGCCATGAAAATAAGATCAAGGTTATATGAACCCTGCTAGGCAGATATGTATACCTAACAATCATTCTGTACATCGACTATAGTTGAACAATTACTAACATAGAAATTAGATGTCGTATCACTTATTTTAACTGGAAATTATCAGGGTCAATATATAGGGATAACTAATGTCATCTCTCATGTAGACATCTCTTATCCTGATTTTTCTTTAAACATTTCATTACTTGACTTGAAAATTGGTATTTATTGCTTCTCTGCTAATCACACAATATTTAGGATTAAGAGCAAAGACTCGGAGTCAGCTCGGAGTCAGAATTATTTGTGTTGGTACGGTTAGATGTTTCCTTATGGACTGTTACCTTGTCACCTTGTACATTAAAAAATCATGCTCAAGGTGACGGTCTAGTACAAAGCAGGCTTAATATTCATATCACATTATCATGTTCTCGTCCAGAATATGCATTTAATTTGCCACTGGACATTAAACAGCCTACCATTCATCAATCTTAAACATTTCTCTAATGATAACAATAGAACATTAACATATAAAGCTTCAGGGAGAAGTGTAGTACTCAATCATCTATTTTATTTTGTGATATTTTAAGATTGTCAAGGTTTCACATTGGCAAACAGCAGCTTATGAACTGAATCAAACTTGAAAGTTATATATATAGAATATGGTTTGATAGAAAAACAAATATAGAAATATATTTATTTGAGCTTGTTTTCCGATTATGAATGAAATTAATGGTTCCATTTGTTATGCTTTGCTACCAGAAAATTTTGAGAATAGTTCAGGTTGGTTAGTAAATGGTGAATGTCTCAGGGTAAACTGATAATGGAAAAAAGATTTTGTTTAGTACTCCCAACTTTCCTTTTACTGGGAATTCATTTTTATTTGTTGGATACCAATTTTTGTGGATTTTGTTGGTAACAGGTGAACCACTTATGTAAATATTGAATGAGTTACAAATTTTCTATCAGATTATATGCAGACTTTAGCAAAACAACAAAATCAAATATTCACAAAAATGGAAGTTTTCCTCAATCCACAAAAATCGGTACCCACGAAAATAAATAAATCCACAGTACATAGAATCAAGTATATTTTGGTGTTTTCAACTATTCCTTTTTTGTCACCTTTCAAGAAAGCGACACATAGCGATCCTAGATTCCGTGGTCAACATTTAGGTTCAGACTGTGGTTAAAGTTTTTTAAGACATCAATAACTTTGTCTAACCTACATGGAATTTTATGAAATTTGGACAGAAGCTTGTTTATGACCAAAATACACAGTATCCATAGCAAAATTTTGAAAATATTTATTTTCATTTTTTCGTATTTTACTAATAAATGAACTAAGATTTTTTTTACAGTTAACATTCAGATTTAGTCTGAGGTTAAAGTTTTTTAGTCATCAATAACTTTGTCAAACCTTCATGGAATTTTATGAAATTTGGACAGAAGCTTGTTTATGACCAAAAATACAGTATCCATAGCAAAATTTTGAAATATTTATTTTCATTTTCTTTTCGTATTTTACTAATAAATGAACTAAGTTTTTTTTACAGTTAACATTCAGATTTAGTCTGAGGTTAAAGTTTTTTAGTCATCAATAACTTTGTCAAACCTTCATGGAATTTTATGAAATTTGGACAAAAGATTGTTTATGACCAAAATACAATATTCAGAACAAATATTTGAAAATATTTATTTTCATTTTTCCGCTATTTACTGATAAATGGACTTAGTTTTTTTTACAGTGAACAAGTAGATACAGTCTGGGATTTAAGTTTGTTACACATCAAATACTTTGTCAAACCTTCATAACAATTACTTTGTCAAACCTTTATAGAGTTTTGTGAAACTTTGGCAGAAGCTTTTTTCTGATTAAGAGATAATGTCTGAAGTAAACTTTTGAAAATTTATTTTCATTTTTAGTATTTTTCTGATAGATGGACTTAGTTTTTATACGACCGCAAAAAATTTTGTGGTCGTATATTGTTATCACATCATCTGCGTCGTCCAAAGACATTTGGTTTCCGGACAATAACTTTAGTAAATGTAAATAGAAATCTATGAAATTTAAACACAAGTTTTATAACCACAAAAGGAAGGTTGGGATTGATTTTGGGGGTTATAGTCCTAACAGTTTAGGAATTAGGGGCCAAAAAGGGGCCCAAATAAGCATTTTTCTAGTTTCCAGACAATAACTTGTGGAACAGTGTATGGATCTCTCTGAAATTATACCACAAGTTTCCATACCACAAAGGGATGGTTAGGATTGGCTTTGGGGGGTTATGGCTCAAACCATTTAGGAATTAGGGGCAAAAAAGGGGGAAAAACAAGGGTTTCCTTGTTAATGGACAATTACTTTTAAGTACAATGTTTTGTGTTTGGATTACCTCCCTTACACTGCTTTTAAATTATGTATAAAGAAATGTTGTATTGTCTTGAGGTGATTAGCTGTCAATTTATATTTAGAAGTTACTATTAAAAATGCTGATTAAGTAATATTAATTTTAGACATGATGATGTTTGTCATTTTCTATTTTAAGACTTTTATGATGTATTTTTAAAAATGGGAAATTATTGTTGCAAACTCCTTTGGAAATCTGAATTGAGATAATGATCATATCTTGAGGGAAAGAATTTTTTTTTTTGGAAAAAGGGGGGGGGGACATTTTTTTTTCTCATTTCAGATTTCAGAAATTAAAAAGAAAATTTCTTCAAATATTATTATTTTTATGCATAAAAATAGGGGGGGGGGGGGGGGTCAATTGGCAACAGCATAGTGTATTGCACAAAAGCAAAAAAAAGGGGGGGTAAACAATTTTTAAATTTTTTTTTTGGAGGGGGGGGGGAGGGGTATAATTCGCAATAGCATAGTGTATTGCACAAAAGCAAAAAATTGAATATAAATTCAAATCATATAACCAATTCTAAGTTCTTTGACTACAGTTATTCTGTGTCAGAAACCTATTATGTGTCAAATATTTAATTACAATCCAAATTCAGACCTGTATCAAGCGCGAATATTGTGTCCATTTTTGCCCCAACTGTTCAGGGTTGGACCTCTGTGGTCATATCCAGCTGCGCTCAGCGAAGCAATTTATTTACAGTTAACATTTACAGATAGTCTGGGATTACATTTTTTTGAAATGATAAATTTGTAAACCTTCATGTGTTGTTATGAAACTTGGACAGAAGCTACTCTTCAAGACCAAGAAATAGCATCTAAAGAAAAAGTTTGAATTTTTTTAAAAATGCTGTATTTTACTGATAAATGGACTCATTTTTTAAGTCAACATTACACTTTTACACTGACAGCAGCAATCACAAGGCGGACACAAGGTTCTTTGGAACCCCTTACCAATTATTAGCTCACCTGGCCCAAAGAATGAATGTTTAGACTATGAAACATTAGGTTAAAGTTCAGTTTAAATATTGTTTGTCGACCATAACCATAAATGTAGTAACCATAAATATATTTGACTGTTTCATCCACATAACTCTTATGAAAATATGTATTATAAATCTGTTGTGTATTAGATAATGAGTTAGGGCTGTTCCAGAATTAAATCATGGGAGTATGGGAGGCATTTTTTTTTAGACCCCAAACACCCATAAAATAAAAAGTTTTGCGTTGCTTATAATTCTTACAATTTCTAAGGAAAATTCAACCTCTCATGTTTAATTAATTTTAAGTGTCTCCCATCCCCCACCTGATAAATTTTAGAACAGCCCTTATGGAAGGAAGAAGGGAAGTACAAACAAAATCTATAAATTATATCTTTAACTTGAGACAGGTATAGATGTTAAATGTGCTATTTGACAGGTTTATCCCAAAACTTTAGAAGTAGGTAGAAATTTTTAGTTTTTGTGTTTGTTCTTAATGATAGTGTTCCTAGTTTTTCTTAGTTTATTAGTTTGATTGGTGCAAACAACCTCAAACAAAATAACAAAGTTTCGAATAGCTTTTCTAACTTTCAAACATGGCTGCAACTGTTTTTTGAGTACCAAATTTGGATTATGAAATTCTTTAAATAATGTAAGGGAGTAATTTTTAACTTCAGAAACTTTGCAATCAAGGATATATCTATAATCCTCTTTTAAGAAATATAGGCGATACTTGGGTTTACAGTCATAAAATTTTTGAGTATGAATATCTTATTCAAACTTGGAAATCAATCAATTAAAATATTGGATTTGGTATTTCAAACACAAGTTAATACCCTAAGTATTGAGTTAAAAGTTAATGACTGAAAGGTGTGATGACTAAAGATTTAATCCTGGCAGCCAGCTATTGCCTTTCAGAATTGAATAACTGAAGAAGAGTCAAGTTTATAAATATGCTACCTGTGAAAATGAACTATAAAGTACTACAAATAATGAGATTTTTGAAAAAAAATCACACTTTTGTCCTAATTTAAGTTTGTAAAGGATAAAAGTTTGCAGCATACTAACAATAAACTTTGCAAAGACATTTCAGATTCTTGCTTTTATTTCTAGCTTCCTTCAGAGTTATGCCTTCATTGATACAAGTATAATACAGAATAGAATATTCTCCCTAAGACATTTTGTCAACAGAATACCCAGCCTGATGCTATAATTATACCCTGTATAAACTTTTTTTTTTGTGAGGGATGGTGGGTGGTGGGGCTGGTGAATAAAGGAATTATCCTGTCAATCTGTCTGTCTGCTCATGTACCTTATAAGCTCAACTCCTTACAGACTGGTCAACATATTTAATAAACTTTACACATTTGTAGAACTATCTATACCTTAGAATATAATTGCAGTTGAACATGTTAAAGGGGTAATGATCAAATTG